GGAATGGGAGTAGACTGGCCATGAGCTTCGCGTAGGAGGGAGACATGGAAAACAGGGTGTATGCGGGCTTCTGGCGGTAGTTGGAGACGGTATGCAACCGCGCCGACTCGTTCTGTAATCTTGAAAGGGCCGAAGAATCTTTTTGTTAGCTTTTTTGTTTCCCTTGAATGGATTCATTTTTGACGATAGTCCCGTAGGCGGAGGTAGACCATGTCGCCTACTTGAAATTCTTTGTCAAGGCGGTGTGAGTTTTCCAAGGTGGTCATGCGTTGTTGTGCTCTACGGAGATTGTCTTTTAGTATGGTGCACAGCCTTTGGTGTTCTTTGAGTGTTGCGTCAATTGTAGTGATAACCGCGGTTCCTGATTGGTAACGGTGTAAGTCTGGTACAGGTGTTCCATAGAGGGCCTGGAATGGTGTCATGTTGATTGCACTGTGGTGGGAAGAGTTATACCAGAACTCTGCTAAATATAGGAACTTGGACCAGTTTTTTGGTTCGTCACTAGCAAATGATCGCAAATAGTTTTGGAGGCAACTGTTGAGGACTTCAGTTTGCCCATCCGTTTGCGGGTGGTAGGCGGTTGAGTACTGAAGTTGTGTGCCCATTTTTTTGAAAATTTCTTTCCAGAAGGTGCTAAGAAAAATAGGGTCACGGTCCGATACAATGCTCTTGGGGATTCCATGCAACCGGTAGATGTTGCTAAGGAAAAGGTTAGCTAATGTGACTGCACCAAAAGTGGTGGGAAGGCCGATAAAGTGTGCAGTTTTGGAGAAGCGGTCTACTACGACCCAAATAGTTGTCTTTCCTGCCGATAAGGGTAAGTGTGTGATAAAATCCATGGATATATCTTGCCATGCTAGAGATAGAATTGGGAGGGGCTGCAATAAACCATAAGGTTTATGATTTGGTGGCTTGATTTGCTGACATACAACACATTCACGGATGAAGCTAGTGACATCAGCTTTCAATTTGGGCCAGAGGAAGGTGGCTGAAATACGCTTGATGGTGGGTAGGATACCAGAATGGCCACCTAGAGGACTGGAATGGTATTCACGTAGGAGCGTGGTGCGTATGGTTGGCTGGTTCGGTATGCATAGACGATGAGAATGGTAGAGCAGACCATCATGAATGTGAAACTCGTTTGATCCTGTGGTTTTGGAAAGGAGTGTGTGTATTAGAGCTTTGCCAACGGTGGTAGTGTAAAATGATCGAAGATCAGCGAGCCATCCTGGTTTTGTAGCAGATAGGGCGAGTAGTTGTGGTTGATCAATTCTGCTCAGGGCGTCGGCGACGATATTCTCCTTCCCCGGCTTGTAGATGATCTCGAAATCGTAACCCAGCAACTTGGTGGCCCATTTGTATTGCTCGGGGGTCTGTACCACTTGTGACAACAGATGCTTGAGACTTCGTTGATCGGTGAAAATGCGAAATTTCCTGCCGATCAGGTATTGGCGCCATTTCTTCACCGACTCGGTAATAGCAAAGAGTTCTCGTACATAGGCAGAGGATGCTTGCATGCGTGGGCATAGTCGTTTGCTGAAGAAAGCGATCGGTCGATCTTCCTGGGATAGTACAGCACCTATGGCGATGTTGGATGCATCTGTTGTGACTTCAAAGGACTTGGTGAAATCCGGTAGGGTGAGAGTTGTTAGCTTAGCCATGGCAGTTTTTAGCTGTTCAAAAGAGTGTGCAGCTTCTGGTGTCCATGCAAACGTACTTTTCCGGAGAATATCTGTGAGACCTGCAGCTATGGTTGCATATTGTGGAACAAAGCGCCTGTAGTATCCTGTAAGACCTAAAAAACCACGCAAGTTAGTCAGATTTGTTGGTGTTGGCCATTGCTGAATTGCTGATATCTTGTCTGGCTCCGCTTGCACTCCTCCGGCTGAGATTATATGCCCCAGGTAATTTATTGTTTCCACTGCAAAGGAGCATTTGGACATCTTGGCATGGAACTGGTGTTGTGATAGCTTGTGGAATACTTGTGACAGATGCTGATAATGGAGGTCGATAGATGGGCTGTAAATTAATATGTCATCGAAAAAAACAAGCACGTATTGACGTAGGACATCCCGAAAGAGCTCATTCATAGTTGCTTGGAATGTAGAAGGTGCATTAGAAAGACCAAAGGGCATTACGAGAAATTCGTAATGTCCATCCACCATTCGAAAGGCTGTTTTATGCGTGTCATCTGGGTTTACACGGATTTGGTGGTATCCTGCTCTTAAATCAATTTTTGAGAAGATGGTGGCGCCATGGAGTTCATCGAGGAGCTCGTCTACTGTGGGAATAGGAAAGCGGTCCTTAATGGTGATCGCGTTTAAGCCTCTGTAGTAGACACAGAATCGCCATGTCCCATCTTTTTTGCGAACCAAGAGGACTGGTGAGGAGTAAGGGCTTGTGCTTGTTTTGATGATACCTTCCTGTAACATTTCGTTGATGAGGGAGGTCATAATTTGTTTCTGGTAGTAGGGGTAGCGGTATGGTTTAATGTTGACTGGGGTAGAGGAGGGTAGAGTGGGAATATGGTGATCTTGATTTCGATGTGGGGGTAGGGAGGTGGGGGCTTCGAAGATGTGATGGTATTAATGGAGAAGGTTTGCAACGGTAGGGTTTGGGTGTGGTGCTTGTGGATTGTTTATGGCTGGGGAATGAGGTTCAAAGTGGAAGTATAAGGTATGTAGGGATGCTATGCTGTTTTTGTGAATAAGGGCTTGTACATTTGTGGGTGAAGCTACACCGGACATGGGCTCACCTTTGAGAGTTATGGTTGTAGGCCCAACATTGAATGTAAGTTGGGGGATAGAAAAGTCTGCTAAGATGGGGCCCAAAGTGCTGAGCCAAGCGACCCCTAAAATGACGTCTGCTTCTTCAGCCGCTAATACGAAAAAGGGAATGGTGAACTTGGTTTTCTGGAGGTGTATGTCGACTGCTGAACAGAATCCACTACACTGGAGGAGGTCGCCGCTTCCGACCATCACGGAAAAAGAGGGTATTTCCCCTTGGGGAAGGTGGAGATGATTTGCAATTCATGGTTGTATGATGTTATGAGTACTTCCTGAATCAACAAGAACTTTTACCGGTTGATTATTGATGTAACCTGTGACCCGTAACGCTTGTGGTGACGCTAAGCCGTACAGAGCCGCTGTGGATAGCGACAGAAATTCACCGGTGGTGGTGGCTATTGTATCTGAGGCATCTTCGACTTCAAAAACGGACGTTTCTGTGGCCGGGTCTTCCTCGTTATCTACGATCATCATGAACTGAGGGGGACTACATTTATGACCAGGGCTGTATTTAGCGGGGCACCGGAAGCATAGCCCTTCGGCTCGTCGTTTTTGGAGAGCATCTGGTGACAGGCGGGTGAAGGGGAGGGTAGCTGGTGGTGATTGGGTGGGAAGGAGGGGGTAGTTGTCGGTTTGGGTGATGGTGATAGATTTGTGGTGGGGGTACTAGCCACAGAGGGTGAGAATGATCTGGGGGTTGTATAACGAGGTTTATTGTTGGCTAGTTTTTCTTCAATGAGTGTGGCTAGGCCTTAGGTTTGATGGAGGGTAGTCGGGTTCTGGATAGCAATTTCATTTTGGATGTCGGGGCGAAGTCCCGATATGAAGCAGTTACGAATGGCCACTGGTGTTAGTCCATCTACCATGTTGCTCACTCTTTCAAATTCGGCTTGAAAGGCTGCCACTGTGGAGGTTTGTCGTAATTTGAATAGAGTTGTCTGGTGGTTTTCGTAGGATGATGGGCCAAATCTGAGTTCCATGGCTCGACAAAATTCTGGCCAGGTGGTTAGTAGCTGATTGTTGGTTAAGTGCTTGTACCAACTAAGAGCTTCCCCTGTAAAATAGAACACAGCCAAGGGTAATCTTTGATTATTAGGCAGGTTATAATAATAAAAATAGTTATTAGCTTGGAATATCCAATCTAATGGGTTAGACCCATCGAAGTTTGGCAGAGTGATTTTGGGTGGTCGAGGTTGATGTGGGGGCGGTGGTGGTGGTGGTGGTGGTGGTGGTGGTGGTTGTTGGTGGGTCTGTTGGTTGGTGATTAGATTGACCAGGTTGGTCATATTAGTGGTGAGGGTGTCCAGCCGGATGTTAGTGGCGGTTGTGAGATGGAGTAAGGCTTGAAGTTGGTCATGGGTGGAGAGAGGTTCATCAGGTTGATGTTCTGGTTTGGGAGGCATTGTAAGAAGATGAAAGCACCAATTGTTGTATGCTATCCTCAAATGCAAATTACAAAATACTTAAATAATCAAGGAAGCAACTGAAAATAAGGAAAATCTAAGTGGTCGTGGACCTTATGCAGCTAAACTTAAGCAGAAAGTACTGGAAACACTACTTCTATTCGAGACTAATTCTCATAACTGACTTCTTCCTCTTATCCTTGTTAGTCCAAGAATCTTACATGCTTATGGATCACACGTTTGGGCCTGGTTGGCTGTCTTGCTGGACTCGTATCAATCTAACTACTATATATCATCTTCATTTTTACAACATCGTCATTCTCGCAATATCTTCATCTACATTCTCACATAAGCTATTCTTCACTCCATCATACTATTCATCCTCCTTCCTCTTCTCCATAAGATGAAGTTTATGAACCTAACCATTGGTGAAAATGTCATTTGACTGCGTAATTTATTTCCTTCCTATTAAACTCGAGAACACATCCATCCTCTCTCTCTTTTTTCCTTCCATATCTTTCTCCCTTCCTCCTCCTTAATTTTTACATTTAAAAACAAAGGTGTAAAGGTGTCGGTGACGCATAAGAATATAATTTGTTTCTTCTTTCTACTATTCCTTAAAAAACAATAATATAAACGGTCTTGGGCTGAATTAAACAACTATGATATAAACGATCTTGGGCTAAATTAAACAATAATATAAACACTCTTGGGCTGAATTAAACAACCATTTTGGGCTGAATGGGCCAGATCAAGGTCTGAACTCTGAACCAATAACCTGCATCACGATACTAGATCCGTAAATTGGTTTAATGGATTAGAAACTAGCAAGTAGCAAAGTGCTGCGTCGATTAGATCAAGCGAATTGTAAGCTAAAGTCTCCGTGGTTTCTCCAATCAGGTAAAGACTCTTTGATTTTTCATCCTATTCTAATTGGAAAGAAAACCCTAAATTTATCGTTGTAGTTGTTTGCTAATTTTAAGCTAAGTGATCTAAGATTTAGGGTATTATATCACCGATTGCTCCCGGAAGTCATTTAAACGGATAATTTCTGGTGATTTCATCGGATGATCTTTTCCTTACTTTCCAATTCTTTTATATGGTGTTATCAAAATCTTCAAATTCCTGTTTCTGTTTAGTAAAATTCCGGATGCTGCAGAAATTTTCTGATACTTTGTTTCTTACTTGGTTGCAGTTTGAAGTCATTGAAATGGAGAACAGAAGGTACAACGGCAGACAAGACATACGTAGAAGACAACATAAAGCAGATGAGGTCATATGCTTGTGCAAGTTTTTGTTGTGTTATTTGACTGAAGTTTAATCATGGTTAAGTTGATTTATGCTATCTATTTGTATACAAGTGATGCTGTAGAATCATTAGTGTGTTAATTTGGTTCATGTTTTGTAAACTGTACAGGAAGATGAGGCATCTGTTCTTGAGGAATTTGCAGAGGAATTTCGCCTACCAATTCATCACAGACCAACAGAAAACGTAGATCTTGATAATGTTGAACAAGCTTCATTAGACACACAATTAACATCATCTAATGTTGGTTTCCGGCTTCTTCAAAAGATGGGGTGGAAAGGGAAAGGTCTTGGGAAGGATGAACAAGGTATGCAGATAACATTACTGCTGAACTTCTTGCACATTGTCTTCTGTTCTAGTTATTGTTTCTAGATTAACACGAGTGAATGTACTTGTTCAAATCCAATCATTTTCATATGCTTAAACAATTTATTGAATAATTGAATTCATAATACAGACAAAGTTAATTGACATTTCATTTAAATGTAAGAAAATATAATCAGAACAGTGCATTTGTTCCATCTTTACTTCATGTTGTGCCTAGTGTGTTGATTTTAAATCTATTTTTTAATGCCTCAGTCTCACCAACTTAAATTTACCTTTTCTGCATCCTAACAAACAAACAAGCCCTAATTCTTTCCATCATGATTCCGTAGGAATCACCGAACCCATCAAATCCGGAATCCGAGATTCAAAACTCGGAGTTGGAAAACAAGAACAAGACGATTTCTTCACATCAGAAGAAAACATCCAACGAAAGAAACTCGACATTGAAGTCGAAGAAACCGAGGAAACCGCAAAGAAACGAGAGGTATCCCTTTTCACTCTTAAAAAAGAAAAACATATATAAATACATTAAGAAAAAAAATCTTATCTTATATATAACATATAATATATAGCAGAAGACAGCATATGTCTGTTTTTTATTAGTATCTCTATCTGGTGGCTTCTTCTGCCCCCTTTCCTGCACATTATGAAAATCCAGGTTATGGCAGATCGAGAGCACAAAATTCAAACTGAAGTCAATGAAATCCGCAAGACTTTCTATTGTGAGCTTTGCAATAAGCAGTACAAGTTAGCAGTTGAATTTGAAGGTCATCTTAGCTCATATGATCACAATCATCGAAAGGTATGTATATAAGTAAACTACAATTGGGAATTTTTTTTTTTTTTTGAGGTGGAGGGTATTTACGTCTTTTGCGGTTTACAGCGGTTTAAAGAAATGAGAGAAATGCACGGAAGCAGCAGCCGTGATGACAGGCAAAAACGTGAACAGTTGCGTCAGGAAAAGGAGATGGCTAAGTTTGCTCAAATGTAAGCTTTTTATGATAAGGACAAGAAGGGTATTTATGTCTTTTGCACAGAGACTAAACCAAGTTTCTTCTTCCTACTTTTTTGTGGGTAGGACAAAAAATTGGACTGTTATCCCATTGATAACTCTCTCAGTCTCCGTCCAATGCATGTCAAACACAATCAGATCATTTCAGATGATTAAATATATTTTACTTTTTTTTGATTTAGGGCTGATGCGCATAAGCAACAACAACAACAGCAAGAGGAGTCTGGGAAAAGTAATTTAGCAGTGAAGAATGCTGCTACTGTTCTTGCTGATCAGGATCAGAGGAAGGTGTTGAAGTTTGGATTTTCATCAAAACTTGGTGCATCAAAGGTATTAACAATTTTTTTTACTAGTGTTTTTTTATTTATAAAAACATACTTATTGGCTATATTGTGAAAAGGAGTAAAGTATGTTGGTATTTCATGCAGAGTTCAGGCATGAGTGCAGCAAAGAAGCCGAAAACACCTATTGCATCAGTTTTTGGAAATGATAGCGATGAAGAGTAGTAATATTCATATTGTATACTGTTTACTTGACTTCATGTGGTTGTATTGTATACTTAAAAATATATTTTCTCTTGTATACTACTTGGCTTGGTGTGGTTAAACACTTAACTTTAACAACTATACATTAAATGGTTGTTTCTTTTTGACTTAATATGGACAGCATGACCTAATAATGGCTTAATGTATCAAGACACTGATGAATGTTGTGAAATTTGTTTTTAAAAATGCAAAAGCAAAATGGTCATAGGTAGTCTCATTATGATTCAGACGGTGGTTTATTCTGGTAAAGAAACAACTAACTCTCATTCACTCTTGGTTATATGTCTATGCATTGACAAGCAGCTTATACATAACTTAACTTTTGATTGGTCGATAAATTAATGTTATGAAATATTGAACTCGACTTGAGTTTGTTACTTAATTAGGTTGCTAACTGAGGTTCAAGTTCCTATAAGACATAAGGCATAAGGTATTGTTTTGGTCGATCAATCTAAGCCGTGTTCTGACAAACAATTTAAGATGAATAATTTTGTAATCACTCATCAACATCAATGTTTGTCTTGCATAATTATTTTATAAACATCAGTTTAAAAAGAAAACCAAAAAAACAAGGTTTTACAAAAATAACCATGTAATCCGTAGAGGGCTTTCTCTGTACTTAGTGTTAAATCAAATATTAGGGTATTTTGGTAAAATTCAATGAATCTGCATTACTATCGTATCAACAAGTCTGCGGTATCCTCTCTGCGGACTTTATTACCTTCTGCAAATTCGTTTGTATAGTCATAAAAATTTTTTAAAAAAAATATTTTATACAGAAAAATGTCTCGAAATAAAACGAAATTTTAAATGATTCTTTTATTCATTACATTAGTAAGTTTCTATGGAGAAAACATGTATTTTTTTTATCATTAATTTGTTATGATTCAAAAAATGTTATATGATCCAAAATATTTAGATTAAAAGTTATATGATTCAAAATGTTATTATCAAAATATTGTGAACCAAAATCTATAGTAAAAGATTTTATATGGTTCTGAAATGGTTTGATGTAAAATGTTTATGATTCTTAAGTTTTTATCCAAAATTCAAAACTTGTTATGAAAAAAAGTCTATAAAAATTAAAAGAATATATTTTTGGTTTTTATAAAAATAAAAAATTTAATGAAAACTATTTTTTTTTAAATTAAAGTTTTGATATAAAAAAGAATTTATTTTTGAAAAACTCATAATATAAGATATATAAAAACCTTCAATTTTTTATTATTATTTGGAGGACAAAAATTTTAATGTCTTGGTATTTATAGAAAACTTGGATTTCATTAAACAAAATGTAAGTACCCTTAACAACAATATTTTTGAACCACCAAGTCTTCTCTTCACATTAAAACTACTTATTAGCGATGACAAACTGCAATAAATGGATAAACACCTTAAATAAGCAATCCTAAACACACCATCAGGGGGCGTAGCCAATATAGGGCAAGAGTGGGCTTTAGCCCACTCACACAAAATTAAGGTTATATATATATAATAGCCCCACATAAGTTTAGGTACTCTAAATTATACAGTTTTATCTTAGTAAATATAACCGAGTCAGATTTCATTTGGTAAAATATACAATTTCCCATTGCATTTGTTTCCTCTATTATTGTTTAACTATCTATGTTTTCTTTCCTCCATTATCGTTTATTATTTCTCGTCAGTGAACATTATTATTTTCCACCATCACGAAGGTGGAAGATAATTAAACCTTTTGCTTCCATATCAAAATTATTGTTTCAATATTGAATCTGCAACATCAAGCTTTAATCATGAATCCCTTAATTGCAATCTTTAACTAGTAAAACGACGTAGAAGAGAATATATTGTTGTCTATGTCGACGAGACTCAATTTTAGATTATTTTAATGATATAAGACAACATCTTGTGCAACTTAAAATAAATAATTTAGTTAAAGACTGTATATATAATTTTTTCCATATCAAAATTATTGTTTCAATATTGAATCTGCAGCGTCAAACGTTAATCGTGAATCCCTTAATTGCAATTTTATATAATTTAGTAGAAGATAATATATTGTTGTCTATGTCGACGAGACTCAAATTTAAATTATTTTAATGATATAAGACAAAATCGTGTGCAATTTAAAATAAATAATTTAGTTAAGAATGTATATATATAATTACATTTTGTTATTGTTTGAAGAATTTTGCCACTCATTCATATTTTATATATTATTTGGCATACCATAAAACAAAATCCTAGCTCCACCACTGGCCCTCAATGTATTAAACCACCAACTCTTCTCTTCACACTAAAACTGATTTATACTGTTAATTATCGACAAAAATTATTAAAATTGTTTGCTGAAATGCTGAGAGCATTTAATCTCAGTCAAGCCTGTTTTTGGATCTAAAAAAATCAACTTTATGTGTACAACTCTTTGGCCAACACATGTCATTAGTCATTACCCATTAACCACTTTAACCATATACACATAACACGAGTTAATGAGAAAAAATAAAACCCATACTCCAAATCTTCGTTTGTACAAAAAGCAAATGTATGTGTTATCCACGAAAATCCCCCACAGCCTTGAAGAATAAACCAACCATATGAAAGCAAAGAAAACATCAAGTTGAAAATTGCAAGATTGCATTAATTTAATTTAAGGTACGTAAAAAGGTAAAACATTGAAAAGCTCTAAACACGATAGATGACATAAATTTCCCCGAGTTCTAATCTATAACAATAATATAAGAAGAAAGATAAGATACAATTGATTGGTTCAAAGCTCAAACCCGGTTGTAAGCAACCGACTTGCTAAACAGGCGACGTATGTAAACCACTTGGAGTCCACTTGCAAGTGCCAACAAAATGTATTCTCCAATTGTGTAAAAGATCACCCTTTTATGCGTGCTCTCATTTGCTACACAACAACCAGTTATATATCACATGACATGACATGACAGAACAAATTATACTGTGTTTGGCATATAATTAGGAATAATAAATATGATTGAATTGAATGAGAGAGCTTTACTATGGCGATGTCGAGCATCACGTGCTTTCAAGTATTTTTTTTTCAGCCTGTAACAGATTCTAATGCCTCCCTCAATTCAGCAATTTTCACATTCACATTCACAGGTCCAAATGCTCTACAAAACATACAAAAACAATATAAAAACTTGAGCTTTAAAAGATAATGGTTGCAAGAAATAAGAGGGATTTCAACAAACCATCTTTTGCTAGGTCATGCTCATTGGGAATATGACCAACATGTATGTAGAAAGAGACAGTTTCTGGAGTTGAGTAAGGGTTATGGAAACAGAATTGATACATTCCACTTCTTGGAGCTTTAAACTCAAATTTTTCTCCAGATGTTCCTTTCATTGTTTGTACTACATTTCCTCCAGGAGATGACACCTGAAACAAACCCAAATGAATTAATTTCAGCTCTTCTTCTTCCCTACAATTTTAGCTTATATTGCTGTTGAAACACCCTTGATGATGACCTAAAGAGTTTTCATACAGCCAATCGACAAGGGAGATAGTTATGGAAGGGATGTTAAAGATCAACATAATCCTTGTTTATAATCCAAAAAGTCTGTGCTAGCCAATTGTTTTTAGGGTAACTTCAAAAATCAAAAGACCTAACATGCATTGAAATTGAGAACAAATTATATAAGATCCATACAACAAAAAGAAAAGAAAAGAAAGAAACTTGTCAACTGGATTGCGTAATCACAAATCACATAAACAAAGGAGCTAAAATGAATAAGTGTTCGACGAAATTCGATTGAATTCAGAAGTTCTAGCCGAAATAACCCATGGAATTTCATTCCAATTAAAATTCACGTCCCATGAGCAGATCAATGAAACATCAAACGTCAATAAAACAAAACCCCTAAAATTTAACTCCAATCTATAATTTTCGAATAGAACAGCAAAATCCTTTATCCAAATTTCTGATTTAGGTCAACTAGGTTCCAATTTTGAGAAATCCAATAGAAGGGGAAAAAAAACATGGTGATCTGAAGTATACAGATCCAGTTACTCACGATAAAGTCGATGCCGGGGTGATCGGAGCTCCAGAATATATCATGATCGACAACAACAAAGTTGCCTGAAACCGTATCGCCTTCGTAAAGTACATACTCGTATACACATTCGACGTCGTTGACGGTGACTGAAAGAGCCGATACATCTCCGGCAAAAGCAGAAAAGAGAAGAAGCCCCAAAATCGCATACACTTTCATTGTTCTCTCTCCTCTCTCCATCTACTGATTTCCTTCCGATTGACAAAACGATTTGCACCCAGACGCTTTTTCAGGGCTTCTTCCGGGTTGGAACAACCCATCCAATTTACTAATTTACCCCTCTCTATAAGCAACGGGTTGGATTAAACTTGCTATTGGTCATCTCGACGTAATCAATTTCACTTGTGTGTTTGTTGGTTGATTTATTCGAAAATTGTTATAAAAGTTATTTTTATTTCAATTTAGAGTAAATAATATTTATGTTTCAATTTAGAGTAAGAGAGCTTTATTACAACATTGGATGTAAGAAACAACATTGGATGTAAGAACTACGCAAATGGCTTACTCTACTTTCTAACTAACATCTCTATTTATAGTTTGACAAACATAGAATCGACTAGAACATAACCAATAAGGTTATGACACCTGGGCTATGATAATCAGTTAAGCACATGTCATTACAAAATCTAAGGTGTACAAAACTCTGAAACATACAAATATTTAGAATATTACATTGAAGACTAAAATATTACAATATGAACTTTCGCAATCAGACTCCGACACAACATACATAACACCAATATTCACAAACATGAGGACTAGGCTAAAAATTATCTATGTAGGCTAGGGTTTGAGATAGAGAGAACATTTCTGGAGGTGGATACTTACTTAAGAGGAAACCCTAGATATGAGAGCCGTTAAATAGGTTTCAATGCCTAAAAATTAGGGTTTCTCCAAATATGTCATGTGCATCGCAACCTCCTATGTGTCCCTTCATGATCCTCCTTACAACACATGCTTCACGCTTTACCACTTCATTACCCAAAGAAGAAACCATAGCGTTCTTTGTTGCTTCCTTGTGCTTGTGAGACTAAAAGGGTGCTTTTTGTGCATTTTGTTGAAGGAGTTTGAAGGGCGAGAAGCTTGGAACGGGAAGGAGATTGTAGATCCAGCATCTACAACGTTTGGGCATCCATTTGAAGGTAACAAGTTGTTACCTTGAGCATCCTAGCATTAGATCCCCTTTTCTTGGGTTTTAGGCCATTTTTAGTATACTTGTGAAGCTTTTCGGGTGTTGGGTAAGATCTGGAGTTGTAACTTCAGATCTGGACTCCTCTAAGTCCTTAGAGTTATAAAGTTATAGAAAGCATTAAGCTTTGGTCCTTCTCTTTGGTTTAAACCCCTCCCTTAGCTTGGTTTTGGCAATTAGAGCTTGCATGCATGTAAAGTTTGCAACTTTTACGTGGAAACCATGCCTTAGGAGGCTAGATCGCAATCTGGAGCTTTGGGGTAGCTTAAAAACGTCTGAACACCAAAAAGGACTGAAGGAACTCATCGAGTCCCTTAGCCAACTCAACGAGTCATGTAGGGTTTACCCGTTTTCGAGATTTCGAGTGATTTCCTGTGAAGGATTGGAGTTTTCGGTCTTCATGAGTTTTCAGTCTTCTGGACATTGAGGAACTCGACGAGTTACACAGGTAACTCGACGAGTTGACGAGTTACTCAGGTAACTCGACGAGTTGTTGGATGCACTCGACGAGTTGAGGTCAACATGGACTGTTGACCTTGACTGTTGACTTTGACTTTGACCAGGGTTGACCTTGAGGGTATTTATGGTATTTCGGGATAATGACAAGTTAATCACATGATGCTTATAGGCATTTGAGTTGGAGCTGTGCGTTGGACATATCAGAGCTTGTCTTGTCAGTTCAGCTTTCACGAGAGGTGAGTCTCCTCACCATACCAATGGGTCTAAGGCACCAAGGCCGGCCCATTTTATGATATGTAATATCCTAGCTGAAGTGGTAATATGTGGCATGTTAGTTGGTACGTGCTAGGAAGTATGCTAATGGTATATGTGGTATGTTTGTATGGAAGACCATGGGAGAGCCCATGGCATCCTGGATGTAAGACCATGTGGAGAGCCCATGACTTTCCTACTAAAAAACCATGGGAGCGCCCGTGTTTCACACTCCCGAACCAGGACGTCGGAAACGTCCGGGGGCGGATGACGTCATTGTATAGTATCATAACAATTGAATATGAATGAAACACAGTAACCAAACATCATACATTAAAAGATACCAACATACATTGTTTTACAGATTGTATTTTTTCACAAATTACACAAAGTGACATAAAATATGATGTTCCAAAATGTAGCAAATATCCAAATTCCATAGCCCAAATACCTGCTCACTGAGTCCCTGAGAATACAAGCCGTTTTGAAAAGCGTCAACTAAAAAGTTGGTGAGTTCATAAGCATATTTGTATAAAAAGCTTTGTAACATCTTTGATTGTAATAATTTGTAAAACTCCAGAAAATCCGATATTTTCTGTGAAAAATGGTTTGTGAGTCTCGTCCTAAAACTGTGAATAATTGCATGCGTGTCCTTTGTGTTTCTTTTAGTTGTAATTAGCGAGAGTGTGTGTTCCCAGAAAATCCCATATTTCCTGTTTTATGAAAAATTGTAGTCTTAAAACCCTAAGAATGGGATGGTGATATTAATTACAAAAATATGAGCGTAGTTTTATATTTTATAAAACTAGTGAAGTGTATAATTTCTTAAATCCAAAATGAAACATCCCAAAAATACAACCCAAAAATTTCGTTTTCAAAATATTATTTAAGCCATCAACCATCCAAAATTATAAGTAAAATCATAATCGTGTATCATAAACATCATAGTATATGTCTCAAATCAAATCTCATATCCAAATATCAGAGTCTAGCTCCCAGGCTAAAGACTGTGGTGTGTGCCATGCGATCATCTCGAGCCCTTCCCAATGCTAGTGGAAGTACCTGAAACCAAAACTGAAAACAGTAAGCACAAAGCTTAGTGAGTCTCCCAATCTACCACAAACCATCTACACATAGCATGCAACTAGGAGATACGGGTCTCGCCCACACTCGTGGAGATACGGCCTCGCCACACACCGCTATCTAGGAGATACGGCCTCGCCCACACTCCACTGTCTAGGAGATACGGGCCTCGCCCACACTCCACTATCTCTGAGGTACGAACCTCGCCCATGCTCAGCTACTTCGAGATACGGGCCTCGCCCACACTCGACTACGATGAGGTACGGGCCTCGCCCACACTCAAACTACTAAACCCAACATACAAGTATAACATAGACAACATGTAAAGCTAATCTACTGCTCATACATCATATTTAACTACTACTATGAGATACGGGCCTCGCCCATGCTCTGCTAGGATAGGATACGGGCCCCTCCCACACTCAGCCACTATCATTTCACACTACGGGCTGGCCTTGGTGCCGTAGACCCGTTCCTACTGAAGGAGAACTCACCTCGTATAACTGGCTGCTGATATCCCGAGTGAGAAATCTCTGTCCGCTGCTCCGGCGACTCCCCGGCTATAATTACATAACATTCTGAATCAACTGATGATTCCTCATGGAGTAAATGACCAATTTAACCCCCCCTGGTCAAAGTCAAAGTCCTGGTCAGAGTCAACTTCCAGGTTGACTCTACTCGCCGAGTCCTACTATGGACTCGCCGAGTTCCCTAACTCACAATTCTCTAACTCGCGACTCGACTCGCCGAGTCGGGGCGTAGACTCGTCGAGTCCTTCTACTTTCAGATCCTTGTTCTAACTCACTGAGTCCTCTTCCACTCACTGATTCAACTCGCAACTCTCAAATCGGAGAAATCGGGAGTTTGCACTCCTGCTCTCACTGCCGAGTCCAATGAACGACTGTCGAGTCCTATGCATGTCTTCACTATACAGTTGATTCTAATCGATTCCAGTGCATCAAATTCATAGATCTGAGCTTCTAGGGCCGATATAACACGTAAAGTTGCCAGCTTTACGTACATGCATAGAGGTATGAAGCTAAAACACCAAAATAAGCTAGAAATGGGAACCTAGGGTTTGGAACAAGGCCTTGCTTTGCATAAAGGTAGCTACTTTGAGCTCCTGGAGCTCAATGATGTCCAGATCTATAGTTCCTGCCCTAAGGGAGCTCCAATCTCGAGTCTGGACCTTGAAAACCCAAAAGTGGCAAAACAAGCATATATGAAGATCTACTAGGAAAATAAACAAGGTAGAGGCTTTATTACCAGATGAAGTAGCAAATGGAAGCTAGTTTCTGGATCTCCTTCTTCTCTCCTTTGCACCTTCTCTCCTTCCTTCTCTTCTATACTTCCAAGAATACACCAAAACACTCAAAATCAAGAAGGAATCACTCAACTCACCAATGAAGGGCTAGGGTTTTTAAGGGGGAACGCTCTAGAGGTGCTGGAGGCTGGGATGGGGGCTATAAGGACGTTAAATATGGGTACAAACCCTAAGAATTAGGGTTTCATCCAGACTGGCAGACTCGCCGAGTCGCCCCACTAGTCCACGTGTATTCCCGCTTCTACTCGACGAGTCGGGGCTACTGACTCGTCGGAGTACCCTAAGAAAGGAATTCAATATTTAAATTACATACCAGAATGAGGGCGTTACAATTCTCCCCCACTTATCTTAGACTTCGTCCTCGAAGTCTGCTGTCTCTGGAAACAACTCTGGGTAGTGCTCCCTCATCTCTTCATCGGGCTCCCATGTCCACTCCGAACCCTTGCGGTGCTGCCACTGCACCTTCACCAACTCTACTCTCTTGTTCCTCAGCTCTTTCACCTTGCGATCTAGAATCGCCATTGTCTCTCGATATAGTTCAGGCTGTCATCAACCTGAATGTCCTCCAGGGGTACCACTGCTGAATCATCCACTAAGCACTTCTGCAACTGAGAAACATGGAACGTGCTGTGGATCTGGCTGAGCTCTGCTGGAAGGTCTAACCGATAAGCAACCCGAACCACCACCCGGCCAAAACCCTAAACGGACCAATGAATTGGGGCCCAGCTTGCCCCGCTTCCGAAATCGAATAACACCCTTCCAGGGTGACACTTTCAGGAGGACCATATCGCCCACCTGAAACTCCAAGTCCGAACGCCGCTTGCGGCGTAACTCTTCTGCCGGCTCTGAGCAGTTTGGAGTCTGCTCCGGACTTGCTGAATCTGCTCCGTAGTCTTGAGTACCACCTCTGTACTCCCCATGACTCGCTGACCAACCTCACCCAACAGATTGGGGTCCTACAT